TTTTATCTGACACGAGAAATAGTATGTCATTTTTTCTATTCACCCACTTTTATAGAAATATTAAACCTTTTTCTACAATTATTACTACTAATATAATAAAAAAAAAGATTACTACACTTATTACCGACGTAAAATTGACTCCGTAATATTTCAAGTCATAAATAAATGGGATAAGGGTCAGATAGGGCCTCGAACTCGAAAAAGAATGTCAAATAAGGTCATATTTAGGATGCTCTGTCCGGCCGACGCCATTTGGGGCGGTTCCAGATGCCATTTTTTGATGAAATTTTTGAGCATCTTCCTCATTAAGTCTAGTTTACCCATACTAAATTTCAGCTAAAAATTCAACCGGGAAGGTAGTCAAATGATTTTTTGAAGATAATTGTGAAGTTAAACAACGCCGTACATTTCGGAAAATCATTTGACTACCTTCCCGGTTGCATTTTTAGGTGAAATTTGGTATGAGTAAACTAGACTTAATGAGGAAGATGCTCAAAAAATTTCATCAAAAAATTCCCTCGGGAACCACCCCAAATGGCGTCGGCCGGACAGAGCATCCTGAATATGACCTTATTTGACATTTTTTTCCGAGTTCGAGGCCCTATCTGACCCTTATCCCTAAATAAATATATGCACACATTAATAACAGAAATTGTATCTAATTATAAATAATAATACTAATAATAATAATAATATTAATAATAATAACAATAATGAATAAGGAGGAGGAGGAATAAGTTACTAACCTTTTGAGGGGTTGAGAGGAGGTTGAAGGGGGGCTCGGATGAAGGTATGGGAGGAGGCAGGTGGGGAGGTGAATTTATAACAATAAAACTATCCTCCGATCTGTAGCCAACCTATCACGAAACTTTTTATTTTCGGAGTTGGGAACTCCGTTTTGACTTTTTTTGTCAAAAAAATTGGAAATGTCTTATTTGGAAACACGTGTTACAAATATGCTCTGTTTCGTCATTTCCTCCATAGAATGGTAAACCAGATCAATAATTGGAACAACAGCTTTTTGTCTAAGGCCGGTCGGGAAGTTCTTCTCAAATCTGTTATTAGGCTATGAATGTCTTTCTTCTTCCTATGGAGTTATGTAAGGAAATTGAAACACTCATGAATGGGGAAGTCTTGTAAGGGATTCGTTGGAGATCTTGGGACTTTATGTGTCGTCCTAAAAATAAGGGGGGCTTGGGTTTTAAGAAGCTTAGAGAATTTAATATTTCTTATCTTAGGAAAACAAGGATGGAGAATTTTTTCTCAACCGGAGTCTTTAGTTGGGAAAGTGTACAGAGCCAGATATTTTAGAGATGGGAGTTTTTTGACAGCTAAACTTTGGAATAACCCTTCTTTTGTATGGCAGAGCATTTTTCAGACACAGGAGGTTATCAGAAAAAGCTATTACTGGCGGGTGGTTACTGGGAAGTGGTAGTGCTATTAACATCTGGACCAAGCCTTGGCTTCCGGATGAAAGTCAACCCATGGTGATTACAGCACCCATTTCGGGTCAAGAGGAGGACAGGGCAGAAAGTCTTTTTTGCAGTGATGGGAGAAGCTGGGATTTGGATATTCTCAATGATTCATTTGAGGAGCGTGATGTCCAATTAATCCAAGGTATGCCGATTAGCCTGAGATCTATGCCGGACAGATTATGCTGGCGCTGGGAGTCATCCAGACTCTTTTCTGTTCGTAGTTGCTCTAGGGCATTGATTGGAGAGTTTGTGGGGGGAGAGTGGGTTGGAGGTGGTCGTCTACTGAGGAGCGGCCATTTATTGAGAAGTTGCAGTGGGAGTTTGAGACAAGAAAGAAGGACGTTTTATGCAGAATGATTTGGGGCTGCTGGGAATTATGGTGCGAGCGGAATAACAGGGTATGGAATGGAAGCTTGACAGATAGCAAATTGATTTTGATGAAGGCTAAGGTGTTTGTAGAAGGCTGGAGTTTGGCACAAAAGGGATTGGGCAGCCAGGTTAAGGAGAACAGTGGTCTGACTTCAGTTTGGAAAATGTCCTCGGCTGGAGGGTCACATTATCAATCTCAATCTTTTTCATTTTAAGTTTATTGCTATTATCGAGTCAATATACGACGCATTTTCTATATTAACTCGGTAATAAACTCTTTTAATGAAAGCGTCTCGTTATTAATAAATACCCTCGATGAAATGGAGATACTCCTCGATTGAGTACTCGAGAGGGAGATAGTTAAAGAGATAATCGGGATCGACGAACATTTCATTTAGTGGATATAAGCAAAACCAAGTCTCATCTCTAATTAATTAAACCACATAAGTCCATCTTATTGTTTAAATATACTTAAAGTTCAAAAAACATTGTCAAACCCCTCTTTGTTACTATTATTTAATTAAAAGAGAAGTATTCATTTCACTTTATACAAACCTTAATTACTACGTTATACTACATATAATTGTTGTATTGAATATTTGTTTTGAGGCACACTACGACAAAGTGTTGTCAGTATTCATCGATCGATTTTAATAATAATTAATATATGATGAAACAAAACTAGTTGATCTTTTAGGTAATGCTCATATGTTAATATGGATATAAAATAGGAATGTAATTAATATTCAAGAAAGATGATTTAAAAAAATAACTCACAACTTACAAATCATAAGCTTTAACGTAGCAAAACCAAGATGGAAGAGTTTAGCTCCTCATTTGGAGACTAAACATGATAGAAAATATAAAGAAAACACTTAACTAAACTGAGCTAAAGACTATATGTGAATTGTCGATTTTAATGGGAAGTAAAAGGAGTGTATTTATAGGCTTTTGGAGGTGACATAGTCTGATACCCGACCGGGTATATAGGATACCCGATTGGGTATTCAAGGCATTTTCCCGAAAAATGACTTTTCAGGACATACCCGGTCGGGTATGTCGGTATAACTGGTTGGGTATGAGTCAAATCTTCAAAATCCTACATGTTGTGTTGTCTTCCAAATTCTGGTTTTGACATCCGAATCAACTCAATACCCGATCGGGTATTGCTTATACCCGAACGAGTATATGAAATATTTTTTCAATCTTCTTTTATCTTGTCGAGTATGTCGGCATAACTAGTTGGGTATGAGTCAAATCTTCAAAATCCTACACGTTGTGTTGTCTTCAAAATTCTGGTTTTGACATCCGAATCAACTCAATACTCGATCGGGTATTGCTTATACCCGAACGAGTATATGAAACATTTTTTCAATCTTCTTTTATCTTGTCCCCTCGCACTTTTTTTTTTTTTTGATCTTTTGGGGTCCAATATCGGTCCTTTGGATGATATTGACCTGTTTTAAGCTCAGAATAATCTCAATATAAACGAATTACAACTATCTAGAAAAAGAAAGCGAGTACATCAAAAGTGTGTAATTTCCACAACAACAATGTAACTAATTGAAAACCAACTATACATCATAAAAATATAACAATATCAATATGTTGTCTGTTTTTTCATATAGTTGGAGCCCTGGAGGGAATTTTTTCGATGACATCTTAAGAAATATACAGAGTAATATTTTATTGACAATTCTACTCTTATCATTATTGATTTTTTAGATGACACTTTAGATTGTCAGCATAAATACTTAAGTGACAAAACAATTGTAATTAAAATAGCTATAATTGATGAATTTTTTTTACAATGACGATTTGCATGACTCTATTATGACAATTTTATTGTTACTATAATTAATTTATTTTTAGAGCGTGATGTTAATTGTCACTATATAATACTCCGTACTTGTACATTTTATTAACAACATCGTATGTGGTCATCTATTGTGTTAAATAAAAATGACAAAATTACTACTTTGATGACGAAAACATCGACACTAAAGTGACATATATTTTGTCACTAAAAATGATTATTAGTAATGATGACCAATAGCTAAATCGTCATCAAATATAGATAAATGAATGTCGAATTCAAAAAGTGTCTCATATTTCTTTTGCCACAAAGCTACGATGACAAACACTATGACAAATAAAAGTTGTCATATACTCCGTATAAGTTTTAGTGTCTAAAATTGAAGCTCATGTGACAAATATTGTTGTCACATATACCACGGTATATATGAACTCTACTATGCTATAAATCGCCGTATACCATGATACGAACTTTACTACGCTATATACCACGTTATTAGCTCTTAGTAGGGAATTTATTTTGAGCCACATGACGACTTTAGTGTCATCGGTACGTGTTGAAGCGTGATAATAAAAAGGCAATTTACTTGACAAAGAACTTAACATTTCATTCCCGCATGAAGCACATAATTACCAGGTACCATTGGATCCGAAAAGTTCCTGAGGTAAATAATTATATTGCATCTTGACAAGGTTCACACAGACGAGAGCTAGTCAAACATGATAAACAAGGTAATACCAACAAAGAAGTTTGAAGATTGCTATCAAAGTCCAAGTTTGCTACTACCCCCAATTAAGTCAGGAGGGAGAGATTTGTTGTGGATCCCTCCTTAATTGGAGAGTTTCTATAAACTCTAGAGCTTTCTAGAAAAGTATAGAAATTTCTAGAACCACCCGGAGAACTCTAGAGAAGTATAGAGATCTCTAGAAGTTTTTAAAATGGTGTGGAACCCTCTGCAATATTCTGGAGATGTGTGAAAGGCGTAGAAACTCTTTAGAGCTCTCTAGAATATGAAGACATGTGTAGAACATTCTAGAGAACTCTTCTCCACCATTCATTCCGAACCATCCTAGCTAAGAGTGAATTCACTTCTTACAGCGAGAAAGTTAGAGTCTCTTAGATAAAGAAAAGCTATAGCTTGGAAAGTTCATTCTTCACTCTGGTACTATAGAATGAGTTAATTTTGTAAACACGTCCTTCTAAATTTTACTATTGTTTTGTATAGTGGAAGAATCTACGAATTGGAGAATTATACTTGTGCGCTCGCATTACTGCATTATACGTAGTATTAATGCTTAAGTGTCTATCTTAAGATATACGTATTTATATCTTAACATAAATAAATAAACACAAACTTCATATTGTGATGCTCACAACTTAATACAGCATATCTGCATATATAATCATAAAATTATGTCAAAGTAAAAATGCCGAATTCAATTAGAAAAGTCGGGCACGACTCAGTTCGTAAATGGCAAAATACAGCAACAATGAATATCAAATAAATAGTGTATGACTTGATAGTTCTTGAAAAAAAAACCATACGCAATGAATAGTGTATGACTTGTTGATTATTATACACGTACTCCGTCCTCTACACAACGTATGTCTAATACCGTTGCTGACAAATACCGTTTCCCCACCTACAATACGCAACAACATAAACAAAAAGTAGAATTACATGTAGTGTCGGTGCAAAAACAATATTTTTTGAAAATAGGGTGTAAAGTCCAATTTGGACAATAAAATGAGGGTGAAACTCAAATTACCCCTATAAAATTAATGGGCAAAGTGTAAAATAATACTCCCTCAGTTCTACTATTATTGTCCCAGTTCCGATTCACTTAGTCAAGACAAAATCACTCTTAATCGCTTACTATTATGAAATTACGTTTGTTGAATTTTTGTTTACTATTATGTCAAGCATCCTAGACTGTTTTGGGACAATAATAGGATGAAGGAGCTAGTACTCCGTGGTCCGCTTACGTAAAATTCTAAATCCATGCGGTGCTTTGGAAAGGAAGGATTAGTGGGAAGGGATCGATGAAATTATTACGGAAGTTACAAAGTAGAGATCGATCAGACCTATTGGTCCAGCCGCAATTGAGGGGCCAGAAGTAGTGTACGGCGCACTTGTTGGGGACATCAAAACCCCGCGGCAGCCGGGAAGAGTAGGACAACTTGCAGGTGACCTGAACCTGCCCATAATTCGATTTGTCACGGAACCGAAGTTGAGCATTCATCTTTATGACGGCGGTAGAGCCGTCGTGAAGGACCGCGGCCGGTACAGGAAATGTGAGGGTAACGTTATTCGAGGCCCGGGGAGGCTGCAAAAACGCCACCGCTGTGGCGTTCGCAACCTGCTCCAGTGCCCCGGCACCACCCAAGTAGAGTGATGATTGGGTGGTGCCGTAGTCATTGGTGTATTTTCTTTTGTTTCGGTTGCGGGTGTTGAGGATGAAAGTCACTTTGCCGCCGCCGGTGAAACGACTGCTGCGATTGGTGGATAACGGCCGCGCGTCCACTACGGAGTAGGCGGGAGCTTTTGGAATGGGGTTTTTGATATAATATATAGAAATGAGAATGACCGCAAGAGCTAATAAACAAAAGAACGCCGCCATCATATAACAGCACATCCTTCTAAAAGATCTACGGGCATTTCTCTCCAGTTCACCTTCCTCGCTGTTAACATTAATATTCATCTTCAAAACTAAACAATGAAAAACGAACGTGAGTTGGAAAGGTTTAATTTTTGAAGTGTAGCTTTTATGTTTAAGGTTCAAAACCTCTCACATCTCTAATATAGATACGCTACTAGCATTTTAAAATGTTCCTTACACCGAAAGTAAGGAACAATTCCTCGGGATACCATATCATTAAGTAAGCCAATCACCGATGTACTCTTGGTATCTGAATTGTCTATTCTAGCCTTTTTTCGTTGGGGATATATGACTTAATACTAATATGCATTCTATTAATTATTTTAAGAACTTGAAGGGGCTTAACACGCCTTTTACCTCAGCATGAGGTAACGCATGGCGTTATATGTAGGCTTAATACGGAGTACTACGTCTTTTGCAACGTCAAGTTCATAAATACGTCACTGCACATCTTCCTTCAGTCATGCTATGAAGAAGAATTCTAGTTGTACGGAAAGTCCGCACACATTTACTCCATAGAGAGACAAGTATGCCAAAGATGTGCACAAAAACGTGTACACCAAGCACGAGTCTTTCAGTAAGGGATAAGGGTCAATTTGGTTCTCAAAGTTGCAAAAAAGGGGGTCAAATAAGTCCTTATATAGAAGATTCTGTCCAGACGTGCCATTTGAGGTGGCTCCCGGTTGAATTTTTTGATGAATTTTTTTGAGCATCTTATTCATTAAGTCTAGTTTAGTCATACCAAATTTCAGATAAAAATTCAATGGGAAAGACATTCAAATGAATTCTTGAAGATAATTGTGCCATTAAAAGCGCTGTTATCTTCAAGAATTCATTTGAATGTCTTCCCGATTGAATTTTTAGCTGAAATTGGGTATGAGTAAACTAGACTTAATGAATACGATGCTAAAAAAACTTTATCACAAAATTCCACCGGGAGCCACCTCAAATGGCACGTCCGGACAGAATCTTCTATATAAGCACTTATTTGACGCCTTTTTTGCAACTTCGAGGACCAAACTGACCCTTTACTCCTTTCAGTAATGAGCAAAGACAAAATTACAATTAAAATAATTGAAGCCAATAGTGCTACGTTTTTTATTTTAGGGAAATTTAGTGGAATATGACTAAAACATATTGAGTTTCCTTAAATATGACTAATTATGTTTTTAGACATTCGTATGACTGAAAAGCAAAAAGAAAAAGAAAAATTTGTTTATATTAATTTATTTAATGACCTAAATACCCTTATTTTAAAAATGTGCATTTACACTATTTGCGTCCAATTATAAATATTGTATTTTATATTGTAGTTACTGCACGACATTACTGCACTTCCGCCAACATTAGTTCTTTTGTCACCCACTTTAAGAATTTATTTATAGTTCTTTTTATATACTCCCTCCGTCCCATAAAACTTGGCCATGTTGACTTTTCTTGGTCAATGATGGTCAAGTTTGGCCCTTTGTATTTTATAATATATAATTATTTCAAATATGAAAATTATATGAAAATATTCTTTGTCACTACAACAATATTACTTTTCTATAGCATACATTTATAGCGTTTATACAGGAAGTGCTATAAATTGTATCACCCTTTATTATGATTGATTTTTTAAGTTTGTAAACGTCCCGTTCAAATAAAAAAAAGTTAGTAAACGCTATGGATCGACTATCATAGAAGCGGGGAATTAAATTATAGGCGGGTAAACCAAATAAAAAGCGCTTTAGGTCAATCATCATTCTTATACCCGATATATTTTCCACATCTTCTCTCTCGGCTGCCATAGCCGATTCGCACTGATGGGCCTGATACAGATGCTCGCTCCATTATCGTTCGCCTTGCTTTTTCTTATCCGCCATAGCCGATTCACCCAGATACGAGTACTCCACTCGCTCTCTTGGCTTTTTCTCGATTGCCATAGCCGGTTCACTGAGATACTGGTGATCCACTATCCCCAATCGCCAAGTTTCGTCCTTGTAATTAAATGTGTTAATTGTATGCAGTGAGAGTCATATGTATCTGAATCTCTATATTCTCTCACTTAAGCTTGCCTTTTTTTTTACGTTTTTCTATTATACTTTGGTTTAGACAATCACATACGGAGTATATTTTCTCTCTAGCTAGCCGATTTAGATATTCTTTATACTGTATGTATTTCAATTTTTCTTGTACTAGTTTTTCTTGGTATGATCAATCGTTGTGTATTCATTTTCTAGATAAGTGTGGCACTTTGTTGAATCTACTCTTAGTTATATTAAACCCTTGTTTAAAAGGGAACGAGATTTCCCCATCTCCAGCTTGATTTTGAAGCATTATTTCTTTCGAGGATTTGATATTTGCTCCACTCTATTTAGTTTAGATGTTTTTGTATTCTGCAAAAACATAAAAGTTGTATATATTGGTTTGAACTTTGTATTCTGAATGTAAACATAAAAAGTTTCAGTTTTCCAAATTAATTTTTCTAGCATCTTCCTTCATTGAAATGCATTTTGACCAATTATCTTTCATAGTCTACAAAAGATTAATATATACTCGGTATGAAATACTGTAAAATTGATTAAGTTTTCAATTGACAAGTGCTCTCTACAGTTGAGTTTTGAGATAGTGGGCTAGTGCTTCCAATTACCACATTTAAAGGTAAATTCTATCTAAAATCTTATAGCAGTCGATGAGGTTAATACCCCTTTGGGTATGAAAATATGTTGGTGTAACTTGACGTGCACTCTGTCGTGCGTGCACTCAAAATAAATTCAATACTAACACTTATACGTAGTATAGGTGAAGTAGAGTTCGTATCCACAGGGAAAGGAATAACTTTCTTTTTATATAAATAGTAGATAAAGGGGGATTTTGATTGTTGAATGATTTAATTAAATTAACACGAAGATGGACGAGTTATATGGGATTAAATTCAAGAATAAAAGGGACTTGGTCTTGCTACTTTCCACTTCTTGATATATTTTAGTCGATCATTGTTATATCTATAACTTATCCCCTCTCAAATAATCAATCGAGGAGTATATCCAATTCATCGAGGGTAGTTATTAACAACGACCGTTCATTAATAACCCTTACTATTGACCAAATATAGAACAACGCCGTATACCGGTTTAATAGTAGCATTTAACCTCTTTAACTCCTTGATGAAATCAATTGAGATTGATAACCTCAACACAACGGTTTCGATTTAACCAACAAAATTAATCCCTCTTAAGTTTATTAACCACGACCGTGCATTAATAAACCGAAGTTACTTGTGAAACCATCAACGTTTAACCATCGGTTCGTTGATCGTTCCTAGTAATAATCAATGTCGGAACGTTAACTAATCGTCACTTAGCCACCCTCCAACATTAATATAGAATGAGATTAAGGGAAGAATTAATAATCAAGAGGAGAAAGTAAGAAAATAACTCACAACTTTAATAATCAACAAGCTTCAAGAGCAAAACCAAGAAATGGAAGTTTAGCTCCTCATTTGGAGACTAAACATGCTATAAAAGAAATATAGAGAAATTCTATTCTAAACTGAGCTTAAGAGCATAAAGGAATTGGTGATCTATTGTGAAGGAAAGAGGGTGCATTTATAGGCATTTGGGATGGGACTCGAGTACTCGATCGAGTATATACATAGTACCCGATCGAGTATGTGTGAAATGCCAGATTCGAGGTATACTCGATCGATTTTGGCTTAAAAATCAAAGGTGTACTCGATCGAGTATATATTCATACTCGGTCGAGTATGTGTAGAAAGTGATATTCGAGCCATACTCGACCGATTTCGGGTTTAAACTCAAAGGCATACTCGATCGGGTATGTCGGTCTACTCGATCGAGTATAGACACTGAATCGTGGTAAATATCTTCCCGGCATGTTCCTTTGTCTTCGGATCCGATCTGATTTGAAGTTTCAACCTTATACCCGATCGAGTATAGGTAATACTCGACCGAGTATAGGCAAAAATCAGGATTTTCCCTTTTTGTCTTGTGATTTGCACTTTCCTTCCACTTTTGGGGTTCACCAACCATCCTTTGAGTGATAGTAAACCTGTTTGAGTTCAGAATAATCCTAATCTAAACAATTTACAAGGATTTAACAAACTAAACTATTACACCAAAAGTGTGTAATTTCCCAAATATTAAACAACCCAAAACTAGCTAAAAACATAAACATACACACGGAAATTACAAGTGTATCAACTCCCCCACACTTAGTTCTTTACTCGACCTCGAGTAAAACAGAAACATCCAAACAGTTTAAGAGTTTTCCAAGAGTTCATGAAAGAAAGAAACTAAGACCACCAAGGGAAAAATGAGTTTTTACAACAACATTCTTTCTTGAGTTTAATGATCTTCTATGCTTCATCTTCTTGCCTCTTTTTCTTCTTGTTCTTCTTCTTCTCCTCTTTTTTCTAAGAGATGAAATGAGGTCCTGCACACAACAAATAATGCTCTCATATCTCTCATTTTGCCTAGGAGCCTTTTCAGGTTTTCATCCTAGCATCTCTTTGTTTTTCCATACTCCCCAACTCACTCATTTTTTTACAAGCCTGTTCTTGCTTAGATTGCCCATTTTGTTGGGTTTTCAACCTAACTAGCATTTCTTTTCTTTTCTTTTCTTCTTTTTTTTTTTTTAAAGAAGTTCATGCATAGTAAAAGGTAGAAAATAAGATTACATACCCATGATGAGTCTTCTCCCCCACACTTAGTTCAAGCACTGTCCCTAGTGCCCGCCTTCACCACCATAGTAGCCGCCTCCAAAGCCACCTCCAAAGCTCCCGTCGCCCATGTGAGCATCCCCGCCGTCATAACCTCCACCCCCGGAGCTAGATCCTCCAAAGTTACCCCATTGAGAGGGGTCATACCAAGATGGGGGTGGGGGTGGCTGAGCCATAGTATGGAATTGGCCTTGTTGAGCCATGTAAGAGTACATAGGTCCATAGAACCTACATTGGTCTTCTTCATAACGCCGGTTATCTTCTGTCCTTTGCTCATCTAGCCTTAGAAATCCATCCCGTTGTTCTTCCCTATATCGGCCAACTTCTTCGGTTACCTTGTTGAAACCATCAAGGAGTTGTCGGAAATAGTCGGGAGGTGGTTGAACTTGGGG